TTGGAAAAAATACCACCGCCCACTTCAGCGCCAATTTCTGCACTCTTAAACCATTAATTTATTTCGGTATCATGGCTCTTTCCCCTACAGTGATGATCTTCCTAAATGTTGATGTGGTTGTCAGTCGTGAACATGCGTTTAATCAACAGTAAACGGATACAATTTCTTCGAATTGGGAGTTGGGAATTGGGAATATAGGTTCTGTAAAATAGATGTAATATTTGAACCAGAAATTTATTAACAGCCTGATTTTTATAAATTGGGCCGATATTTTTGACTTTATTGCTTGTGTATGTGGAAAGGGATCCATGCAATAAAGAATCCATGCAACCCTTATACTGTGCTTATTCATCATATATGACACGGTCACACATGTATATATTTTACTATTACCAGTCTAAATATATGTCTTATCTAAATAAGATGCTATGAAATAATTTACAATGAAATGGAATTTTGTCTTTTCTTATTCATTTTGTGTCCAAGAATGTAAAATTGAAAGGAACAAAACGATGAACAGTATATATGAGCCACATATATCCACAATTTATCAGACCATTAAAATATCGTGAGATTCAATAGTTTATTCCATATAGAACTGGAATATTTGGTGTTTTAAGAAGGGAGAGAGTAACATTAAACTGAAATGACTACCTACATTTATGGAAGTCTAATTTGGGGTACAAAATTTACCGGCCATATTATTTTGACTCCTCCTTTTTGTCCACTGAAATGAAAAGGAGGAGAGGTGTCAGAATTCTGAACGAACTTCTCCTAATGGGCCTATGAAAAATTAAAAGTAAGAGGGATTGTCAATATTTTGAAGCCAGTGTATCTTGAAACACGTTTCCATGAAACGTTTACTTGGGTAAATATTTACGATATTTTATTTAAACAAGAGGCCCACGGGCCTTATAGGTCACCTGAGTATCATGTAACAACTTTACAGCAATTGTATTTGGTTCCTGTTTTAATCCAAAAGCCATGAAATTCACAAATTTTGACACCATTGCTTATCAAAGGGCAGATTTCAAAGCATTAATTTATTTTTAGTCAAAGTACCCCCCTGGTACCCCTGACCCAGCGTCCCTGAAATTATCTATTTTGAAAGAGGCCCCTTTCTTCATTATTAGGCCAGCATTTTTTTATGTTTAGGTTTAGTTATGAACATGAGAATAAAGAAGTCCCAAAGGAGAAGGAAATAATTTTTTTTTTTTGATAAATCAATTATTAACATTTGTACATTCTTTTTTTATGCTATCGTAATAGGCTCCTTACCACTGGACACATAATGCTTACAAATAGGAAAGTAGAACATTTAATTGCTTATTTCATCATCTGCCAGTCTGGGCCAGTTATATAAATTTTGTGATGTTGATCAAAATATATTTCAAAAAATCAATTCTTTAAAAGTCTTTCAATATATATTCATTTTTTTTAAATATGTGTTAGGTGAATGTGTTGACATTGTAATTTGTTCTAAAATTTACTTGATCCCTAAAATTATAATTCCTATCATAAAACAGACAGGGAGTATTGGGGAGTAGGGTGAACATTTTTTCAATTAGATCTAAGTGTAAAATAATATTTCCGGCTGAAACAAATGATACTACATGCCTGTATATATATTTGTACATTCTTGCCTTTTAATAGTTGAATTTTTTGTTTTATTTCTTCAGGTTATTGTTTATTTCTTCCTCAAATGGACTTAACTTCTCCCATAGTTTTATTCATTTCATCTGATGCATAAGCAACCCTTTTCTGAAGAATGATGCTTAGACTGTAAGCTATAACAGAGACCTAAACAATGTCGCTGGCAATATGCAATAGCTAACACGGGCAGTTTAAAACCTGGGGGAGGAAAATAATTTACAGACAGTTACCTTTGAAACGAATACATAATTATCTCACCAGCATGTCATTGTGCAACAAAGTCGTCAGCATTTTATTTGTCCTTTGAACGGGTGAAACGTATTGAATGGCACTCGTATCGATGAATTTTACACTAAACCAAGCTATCTTCTCAGATCTAGCTTTATTTACCCGCCATTTCATCGTAAAACCGGAAGTGCGAGTTCGTAAATTTGAAATCTCGATCCCGACTCAAATTTGACACCGGAAAGAAATTTTTTAAAATTATTTTCTGAAAATTCAAAACCTTGATCGGAGGGTTTGTAAAACTGAAAATAAAATAAATCCTGGCCTTAAATATGTAATTAGGTCATTAGTATATTAACCAGGAGCAAAGGATAAGATGTTCAAAGAATTCATGCATTTCACTATTAGAGCCCCACCCTAAACCCCTGACCCTGGGGCCATAAAATTCACAATTTTGGTAGAGGCACTCTTGCTCATCATAACTATGTACTTAGTTAGTTTATTTAATACCCAGGAGCAGAGAAGAAGATTTTCAAAGAATTCATGTATTTTCACTATATAATCAATAGAGCCCCGCCCTAACACCAGAACCCCTAACCCTGGGGCCATAAAATTCACAATTTTGGTAGAGGCACTCTTGCTCATCATAGCTATGTACGTTAGTTGGTTTATTTAATACCCAGGAGCAGAGAAGAAGATTTTCAAAGAAATAATGCATTTTCACTACCTACTTATTTAGCCCCGCCCTAGCACTAGAACCCCTGACCCCAGGGCCATGAATTTCGCAATTTTGGTAGAGGACTAATTGCTGGTTATAATCATGCAAACAGTTTGACTGCTTGATGTCCAGAAGTAAAGAAGATTTTTAAAGATTGCATTAATTTTAGTGGTTTAGGCCCCACCCCTCAGGCCCCAGGGGGGCAGGGATCATGAAATTCACAATTTTTGTTTCCCTTCACCCATAGATGCTTTGTGCCAAATTTGGTTGAAATTGGTTCAGTGGTTGCAGAGAAGAAGCTGAAAATGTTCAAATGTTAACACACGATGGACGACGGACGACGCAGGACGACGGACGAAAACATATAGCAGTAGGTCACCTGAGTTTACTCAGGTGACCTAAAAAAAACCCAACCCCTCCAAAGTGAAACAGAAATCCAATATTTTTGCAATCACAATGGCGTAAAATTATCACACTCACAATGACACCACCCCCCCCCCCCCCCCCGAAGACTGTCGAGGCTGTAGCTCTACTGGACTGTACTAATAAAGGAAAAGTAGGAACTGGACTTGAAAATTTGAATTGCAACAGCAATAAATAGAATAGGTCGGCTTGGCTAAGCTGTTGCCATGTGGTCTCGCATCCTCAACCGCCAGCATTGGCGCGGTGGTATTACGGTAACAAAAAGCCTTGGACAAGGTTAGAAAACGCCTGAATAGTTTCATTGCTAGACATTTATAATGGCCGATGGAAGTATATTCGTTACCTCGAAATCCAATTGAAAAGCCTAGAATTGTACCTTATGGAGTGCACTTGTCCAAGCTCGGCAACAGTATGTTTTTGTACCGCATTCATCAAGGATTGCAGACATTTTTAACAAATCCTTCTGAGAAAGTGTCACCAGAACTAGGGGAATTTAGGCATTGGATGCGCTATGACTAGTTTGTGGGCCATAGTTTGGCACAAATAGGTGGCTTCATTGAATTTATGAGTGTTACTTATTTGCATTTCCCTTTTCAGGTTTGTTGAGATTTGTATGCAAGCGACGCTTTCGCTAAAAAAAAAATATTTGTCTTGGCAAACCACAATTTCTCTTGTTATTACCTGCCGTTAATTGGAAATGTTTGGGTATAGGGGTTTTTCTATTGTAGCTACTGATGGCACAGACTATGCAACCGCATATCTTGAAACATAATCAGGCTTACCAGTAGCCTCAATGGACTTGCTTAAAATACATGTATATGTGACTATTTGTCTGAAACTCAATTATTATGCTGTGAACATCTGTCCCTTGGGTTCACCATTTGCATTTTAACTTTTTAAGGGATTGTTATGTTTATCACTCTGTTCATAGGGTTCGTGAAACACACACAACATTAACTGACTATGGTTTATTCATCAGTCTACAAACGTGCAAACAATTATGGTTACTGGCCAATACACAAAAGGAAAGCATGCGTTATATCTAAATGATGAACCCAGTATGATAAGAACTCCGGATTTCCGGTATAATGGACATAACACTTTTCCCCCCTTAACAGAAATCCGAGATTGCAATATTATCAACTATTTAAAAATAATCAATTACAAAGTCTTTCAACTCTAAATCAAATCAGATACATGTACAATATTACATATTTAACACTGTTCGATCAGTCTCTGCGGCCTTCGATGTTCACGTCGTGGATATCGCGGTTGAGTATGATTGGTATCCTCAGCAACAAACGAAGGTGTGGAATCGCGGATTATTTCTGGTTCATTAGGCTTTGACGCAGAATCCTGAGAAGTCGGAACACAAGTTGACTTGACGGTAGACGGTTTCTCTGGCGGTTCCACTCGACTCTCAAATGGTACACTAACAGGCACAATACTCGTAAACGAATTCTGTTTCACTGGTTCGGAGTTGTTCAACGCGCACTGAACATCCAATTCACGAATCTGGTCGATATGTCGTTTCCACTGCATACCTCTGACATTCACACGATATCTGACAGGTCCAAGTTTACGTGTAATTATCCCGTCGATCCACGATACTTTTCCACCACGGTAATCACGTATCATCACTTTTTCGCCAGTGTGAAATATTCGAGTCTTCTTAGCAATAGCTGGCGCAGACTTTCTCTGAATTCGGTCTGTCAGATGTGGTTTCACAACATCTATTCTGGTTCGTAATTTTCGGTTTAGGAATAACTCCCCTGGTGTTTGACTTGTCGTGGTATGGGGGTATGAATGCTGCAAGTTTCTGATTTAGTGTTCCGGTCTCGCTTGCCATGTTTTTCATTGATTGTTTGAATGTACGCACCGCTCTCTCTGCCTCTCCATTTGATGCAGGGTGGTACGGCGCCGATCTGATATGCCGCACTCCATTCTCCCTCAGAAAAGTTTCAAATTCCTCGGACACAAACTACGGTCCATTGTCTGACACAATCTCTATTGGTAGTCCATATGAGGAGAATAGATATCGCAATGCATTAATAGTACTCTCAGAAGTTGTAGAATTCATCATCACTACATCCATCCATTTGGAATATGCATCCACGATTATCAAAAACATACGCTGCATGAACGGTCCTGCAAAGTCGATATGCACTCGTTTCCAGGGTGCGCTCGGCCATATCCATGGATTCGCTGGAGCTTTAGGTAAGTTTGGTAACTGCATCCTGCACGATCCACATTGTGAGACTTTGGTCTCAATGTCCGAATCCAATCCAGGCCACCATACATGAAGTCTGGCTAATGATTTCATCCGGACCATTCCTGGATGAGCAACATGTAATTCCTCAAGTACATCTTGTCGATACTTTTCAGGGATGACAACTCTGATCCCTCTCAGCAAACATCCATCTTCAATGGTTAACTCACTGCGTACTCTAAAGTATGGTAATAAGTTTATGTCAGGTTGTGAACTTGGCCAACCACTTCTTGTAAACTCCATTACACGAGACAATACAACATCATTTTTGGTTGCAGCGGCCACTTTATCCGCAGTCACAGGTAAGTTTTGGATCTGTATTTTATGTATAAGTTCTGTCTCTTTGTCAAGTTGTGTCCTTGAATCATCCATGAGATTCATCGGAAATCGTGATAGAGTATCCGCATTTTGGTGTTTCCCAGTTGCTCTGTATTTAATATCAAACTGGTAAGAAGTGAGTTGCAATGCCCAACGCTGTAGTCGAGAAGCAGTCAAGACAGGAATGCCTTTCTTTGGTCCAAATATGGTAGTTGATGGTTTATGGTCGGTGATAAGGGTGAACTTCCGTCCATACAAATATGAATGAAATTTGGTCACTCCGAAGATTATCGCAAGGGCTTCCCTTTCGATTTGCGAATAATTCTTCTCAGCAGCAGTTAAGGTTCGAGAAGCATACGCAATAGGTTTTTCACTTGCACCGTCGGTATGGGAGATCACAGCACCGAGTCCATATCCAGAAGCATCAACAGCTAACTCCAGTGGTTTGTGAGGGTTATAGTGAGCCATAACTTGAGAAGAAACTAACAGATCCTTGATCTTTGCACAAGCTTCAGAACATTCTTGGGTCCAGGTCCAGGTAACATCTTGAGCTAACAGATGTGTGAGTGGTCCACTTAGTGTTGACATGTTTGGTACAAATTTCCGATAGTAGTTCACTATTCCTAACCATGTCTGAAGTTCCTTCTTGGACTTCGGGTCCTCCATGTTCCTTATTGCCTCGAGTTTCTTCGGTGAAGGCTTAATCCCCTCCTTGCTCACAATAAAACCAAAGTACTCAACTTGGTCCTGCATGAACTGACACTTTGACTTTTGTAGCTTCACACCATAATTGTCTAATCGTTGAAGTGTAGTTTCCAGAATCTGTTTGTGTTCACCGTCGTTAACACCGGTAACTAGTATATCATCAAGTATGTATCCAACCTTGTCCAGACCCTGAAGAATGGTATCCATGGTACGCTGAAAAATAGCTGGGGCTGACGCAATACCAAAAGGTAAGCGAGTGTACCGATACAGTCCTTGATGAGTATTTATAGTCACATACTTCCTAGACTCCTTATCCAACACTACTTGGTTATCAGCTTGAGACAGGTCCCGCTTAGAAAACTTTTCTCCACCATTGAGTTTAGTAAATAATTCTTCACTCGTTGGGAAAGGGTACTCTGGGATATCTAGGTATGGATTTACGGTAACTTTAAAGTCGCCACAAATGCGTACTGATCCATCCGCCTTCATTGCGGGTACTATTGGAGCAGCCCAGTCCGAACATTCTACTTTCTCCAAGATACCAGTCTTTTCAAGTCTATCTAATTCCTTGGAAATTTTATCGCGCAATGCAAATGGTACTGGTCGCGGCTTGAAGAATTTTGGTTCCACATCATCCTTGACCTTTAAGGAAGCGGTTACTCCTTTAATGCATCCGAGTTTGTTGTCGAACACAGAATACTTTTTCAAGTCACCAGCCATAAAGTGGATTGAATGCCAGTCAAGTTTTATAGCTTCCATCCAATTTCTACCAAACAAAGCTGGTCCATTTCCTTTCACAACAACAACAGGTAAAGTTTTCATCTGTGTCTGATACTTCACATTCACTTTCACTTCACCCAACACTCCTAACGGTTCACCTGAATATGTCTTCAGAATAGCCTCACTAGGACACAATGTCACTTTGTTCTGTAAGTGAGTGTGGTACAACTGTTCTGATATCACTGAAATAGAGGCACCAGTGTCCAAATCCATTTCAATAGGTATACCTTCCAGTGTTACAGAAAACTTCATTGCGTTGACTCCTCTGTTTTCCCCTGACAGTGAGAAAATAGGCCAATGTTCATTTTCATTGTCGTCATCTGAACAGTTCTGGTTTTCGGTCACAAAATTTAACTTGGATTTCTTCTTTTGTTTCTTATGTTGCACGGATTTCTTTTTCGAGCACATTTTATGTATATGTCCCATTTCCTGACATGTGTGACATTTACTGTTCTTGTAAAAGCACTTATCGGGTGTGTGGTTAGTCTTCCCGCACCTGTAGCAAGGTTTACTCTTTACAACACTGACCTTGTGTACAGTTTCATGTCCGTGAGCATCCTGAGCGTCAGCCTTTAGTTTGCGGGCTTCGTTCTCAGCGAGTTCCATAGAAATTGCTATGTCCACGGCTCTCTTTAACTCTAATTTGTCCTCAGCTAATAATTTCCGCTGGGTTGCCAGTGATGAAAGACCACACACTAAACGATCACGTAATGCTTGATTCAAAAACTCACCAAAATCACAATGTTCACTAAGCTTTCTAAGTTCAGCAATATACTGACTAACAGTTTCCTGTTTTCCCTGATTTCTCTGGTAAAAGAGAAATCGCTCCGCAATCGCTAGTGGTTTCGGTTTCAAGTGTTGTGCTATCAACGTTTTCAATTCTGCATAGGATTTATCAGATGGCTTTTCCGGGGACGTTAAATTACGAATAAGTCCGTACATCCTCTGACCACATACTGTCAATAATATGGACTTCTTTTTGTCATTATCGTCTATTCCATTGGCAGTTAAACTAGAAGTCTCTGTCAAGACGGTAGCTCTACTGGTTTGTACTTATCAAAAACCATTGCACTATTTTATGTATCTTTGTGTAGTCTACTTGTGTGCCAACTTATTTTGAAATCAGACCAAAACTGTAGAAGGAGTAGCGTTTTAAAGGAATTTCACAGAAAATTCTATTTTTTGTAACCATGGCAACACCGTTCATCGAAATCAAAAACCGATGCACTATTCTATGTATCTTAGTGTAGTCTACTTGTGTGCCAAGTTATATTGAAATCAGACCAAAACTGTAGAAGGAGTAGCGTTTTTAAGGAATTTCACAGAAAATTCTATTTTTAGTAACCATGGCAACACCGTTCATCGAAATCAAAAACCGATGCACTATTCTATGTATCTTAGTGTAGTCAACTTGTGTGCCATGTTATATTGAAATCAGACCAAAACTGTAGAAAGAGTAGCATTTTTCAGGAATTTCACAGAAAATTCTATTTTTAGTAACCATGGCAACACCGTTCATCGAAATCAAAAACCAATGCACTATTCTATGTATCTTAGTGTAGTCTACTTTTGTGCCAAGTTATATTGAAATCAGACCAAAACTGTAGAAGGAGTAGCGTTTTTAAGGAATTTCACAGAAAATTCTATTTTTAGTAACCATGGCAACACCGTTTATTGAAATCAAAAACCGATGCACTATTCTATGTATCTTAGTGTAGTCTACTTGTGTGCCAAGTTATATTGAAATCAGACCGAAACTGTAGAAGGAGTAGCGTTTTAAAGGAATTTCACAGAAAATTCTATTTTTAGTAACCACGGCAAGACCATTCATCTAAATCAAAAATCGATGCACTTTTCTATGTATCTTAGTGTAGTCTACTTGTGTGCCAAGTTATATTGAAATCAGACAAAAACTTTAGAAGGAGTAGCGTTTTAAAGGAATTTCACAGAAAATTCTATTTTTAGTAACCATGGCAACACTGTTCATCGAAATCAAAAACCGATGCACTATTCTATGTATCTTAGTGTAGTCTACTTGTGTGCCAAGTTATATTGAAATCAGACCAAAACTGTAGAAGGAGTAGCGTTTTAAAGGAATTTCACAGAAAATTCTATTTTTAGTAACCATGGCAACACCGTTCATCGAAATCAAAAATCGATGCACTATTCTATGTATCTTAGTGTAGTCTACTTTTGTGCCAAGTTATATTGAAATCAGACCAAAACTGTAGAAGGAGTAGCGTTTTTAAGGAATTTCACAGAAAATTCTATTTTTAGTAACCATGGCAACACCGTTCATCGAAATCAAAAACCGATGCACTATTCTATGTATCTTAGTGTAGTCTACTTGTGTGCCAAGTTATACTGAAATCAGACCAAAACTGTAGGAGGAGTAGCGTTTTGAAAAATTGTTTACAGACAGACGGACAGACAGACAGACAGACAGACAGACAGACGGACGGACGCCGGACGCATTACTATCGCATAAGCTCTTCTGGTCTCTGACCAGTAGAGCTAAAAATGTTCTAACCTTTCAATGTACTCGTCCCAGTTCATGTCGAACTCGTAGTTCTCTATTTTTCCGTAGACAGCCATAGTACCAGTATTTGCGGTTGTGGGTTGTAAATCTCGTCGCCAATTGTTATGTTTATCACTCTGTTCATAGGGTTCGTGAAACACACACAACATTAACTGACTATGGTTTATTCATCAGTCTACAAACGTGCAAACAATTATGGTTACTGGCCAATACACAAAAGGAAAGCATGCGTTATATCTAAATGATGAACCCAGTATGATAAGAACTCCGGATTTCCGGTATAATGGACATAACAGGGATGATATATAAGGCTAAATATTAAAGCATCGGTATCCTCATTTAAGCGGTCATGGCCTATTCAGCCAAATAAAAAGCAAAGTCAGTTTGATGTTTTCTTGTTTTAATTACTTATTGTATTTACTGGGTATACTGGTACTCCCTGTTAACTTTCATCTTTGGTAATATACTAATTATTTATATTCATTTTCTCAAAAAAAAAATGTAATTTGGGATTTTCGTGACGAAGCTGTGCGGGATGTAGGAAATGTTACCGTGTTGTTTATAACTTTCTTTTATTACATGATTAAAATTACGGCAGAAAATAACTGCATATGTACGTAAAATATAGCAAATGAAGAATAAGATCAAATTTCCACTTTGACTTTCATTTGTAGGAGACAAAGTTGAAGATTTTAAAATTTGATTATGATTGGGCCACGACCATGGAGGAAAAAGACAAGAGTCAAGGAAAAGAAAGAGCTAAAACAAATGTTTTCCAAACTTCATAAAGAGCTGCTGGTAAGAAATTCATAATAGTCAAACTTGGCCAATTATATATGACTTAAAATATGTATTATTTTGCGATTCAATTACATCAAGGAAAACAATTTTCTTGTAGACAAAAAATCTGGAAAAGCAAAGTCAAAGAAAGAAAGGCATTACAACAGATATTTCTGAACATCACAAAGAACTGCTGGTAAGACGGAAGAGATAAAGTGAAAACTGTCTTATCTGGTACTTATGCAATCCGTCACACTGTGAATTCTGGCGTTAAATTTATTTTACATTGTACTATTATCCTTTTTTTCAACACTCTTAAGTCAACATTCTGCATGTCTATTCTGACACAGTATTTGCCTCTTGTGCATGTCGAATTTAAGAGGTCTCACAATTAATATCTCTCTAAGCTTCCACTATTCATCAGTTGTTAAATTAAAAAAAAAGTGTACTGCTCATAATAGGATTATAATAACCAGAGTTACCAGTCAATGAATGTTAAGTGTTATTGATAATTATCTTTTATTTCATGAAATTCTCTGTTTAAGGCATTCAAACCCTAATAGGATAAAAAATCAATGAAATTATATACATAACAGATAAGTAGGCATTGAATACTCAGTTTATTTAGACATACTTCCCATTTATTACTGTTAGTATGTATAGTGGGATGTGTCCTAGTTTATGACCTTGAATTTTGGTAAGACTTATCTCCCCTTTTTTGATTTATGAAAAAAAATCAATTAAAGAAATTGTAACTGGTAAAAAAAAATTGTTTTCAATTGTCATTCTATTTTAAATGCTCCGATGCATCTTTCCACCGCAGGATTTATTGATATTCAAAGTATTAAAATTTTTAATTTGAAAAAACGCTTTTCCCAATAGACTTGAATGCAATCCTTGTTAATTGACTACTGCTTAATTAATGAAATTTTTGAAACTTTCTCGCGGTCAATTTTTTTCATTTTTAAAATACTTTAATATAATATCAGAATATTATGTACTTGACGGACATTTAAGGGTAGAGAATTTGGTCCCATTAGGGATGGAAATCCTTAAAATTACCACAAAAAATAATTGCATACATTATTTAATGCATGTACGTAGAAAAATTGAGCGAATGAAGAATTCAAATCAAATTTCCACTATAACTTTCATTTTTAACAGACAAAGTTGAAGATGAGAAATTTGCTTGAAAAATTTTGGAGAGGGGGTATGGAAGTAATTAAAAATAAATGTTACTTTAAGAAACACAGTAAATGTAAATGATTTCAGTAATGTTAAGCTGTAAATGACTTGTATTTCATACAAATAGTCATCATCTTATTTTTGTATCATGTGTAAATAGTGCTAATTGGGAAAATAATCATTTTAAGAGTAAATATTATATATTTATTACTGGAAGGGAAAAAAAGACAAGACCTGAAAAAAATCTCTGGAGCAAGAGTTTGTTTAACAGTTAATTTTTCGTTTTTTACGGAATAGCAATTATTTTACATGTGTCAAGATGTCGTTTAAAAAAAAAACTTTATTTTTATAACCTGTTTCAATTTGTGTACTCTTCTGAGTGTTTCTTGATGCTTTTCTTGGATTTTTTTCTAAAAACAATACACTTATTTTGGTAGGAAAAACAATAAAATTATCAAACATCAAAATCAGACCATTTCCCCTATTTCTTATAATTATACGAATTCAATAAATATGGGGTGATATTTTTAGCTCTACTGGTCAGAGACCAGAAGAGCTTATGCGATAGTAATGCGTCCGTCGTCCGTCCGTCTGTCTGTTTGTTTGTCCGTCTGTCTGTCTGTCTGTAAACAATTTTTCAAAATGCTACTCCTCCTACAGTTTTGGTCCAATTTCAATATAACTTGGCACACAAGTAGACTACACTAAGATACATAATTCTGTGTATCGATTTTTGATTTTGATGAACGGTGTTGCCGTGGTTACTAAAAATAGAAATTTCTGTGAAATTCTTTCAAAATGCTACTCCTCCTACAGTTTTAGTCTAATTTCAATATAACTTGGCACACAAGTAGACTACACTAAGATACATAATTCTGTGTATCAGATTTTGATTTCGATGAACGGTGTTGCCGTGGTTACTAAAAATAGAAATTTCTGTGAAATTCTTTCAAAATGCTACTCCTCCTACAGTTTTAGTCTGATTACAATATAACTTGGCACACAAGTAGACTACACTAAGATACACAATTCTGTGTATCGGTTTTTGATTTCGATGAACGGTGTTGCCGTGGTTACTAAAAATAGAAATTTCTGTGAAATTCTTTCAAAATGCTACTCCTTCTACAGTTTTAGTCTGATTTCAATATAACTTGGCACACAAGTAGACTACACTAAGATACATAATTCTGTGTATCAGTTTTTGATTTCGACGAACGGTGTTGCCGTGGTTACTAAAAATAGAAATTTCTGTGAAATTCTTTCAAAATGCTACTCCTCCTACAGTTTTAGTCTGATTTCAATATAACTTGGCACACAAGTAGACTACACTAAGATACACAATTCTATATATCGGTTTTTGATTTCGATGAACGGTGTTGCCGTGGTTACTAAAAATAGAAATTTCTGTGAAATTCTTTCAAAATGCTACTCCTTCTAC